GCGCGCGCGCGCTATCTTTTTTTCGTTGGTAGGAAAGTAAAATCGTTGCTGCATCTGATAAAAGCCGGACGGGCGGGCGGGTGGACGAGCGCACGCGCACGCGGACGTGTATACGGTGTACGCCGGGCGTGCGCGCGCGCGCGTCGGTGTGCTGAGAACACACGTAAACAAGTCCGTCGCATTCCACGCGGACCGGAGAGTGTACCTGCTGCACGTAATCACGCTCGAATAATTAATTAGCTTATTCTGCATTACTTAGACAGAGAGTTAAAAACGTCTCTCGCCGTCTCTAAAATTGGCTAAACTGGTATAGGCGAAGAAATTTTTCATCACAGCGAAATATGTTTGTAAAACAAACACGGGCGGCAATTCGGCGAGAGATAATAAAGTTACATTTTCATTTCGGGCAAATTTAATTAAATATTTCGCTTTCTTGTAGAATTTAATAAAATCCTCCTTATCGCGCGGTATTCTAGATACTTTAAAATCAATTAACTATCCTTTCGACAGCTTTTTTCATATAATGGGAATAATTTGTTACGTTAGGTATAATACCGAAGTAGATTAATAACGTAATAAAATAATTAACGTAAATATCACTTTTCATCAAATTTATTGCTGAAATATTGGATTAACGAATAAACATTTATGTGAAAGAGAGAGAGAGAGAGAGAGAGAGAGAGAGAGAGAGAGAGAAATTGGTTAATCTTTTCAATATTCCCTGGATTCGGATTCATATATATTCGTGGATTAGTAAATGTTATAAATAAATGTTAACCGTAGTTGGAATTTCTCATGACTTCACGCAAACTAATAGCGGTTACTCGAATAGCAAGTTTCGCGAAACGGATTCTCGTTGAATTTGCGCCAACTTTCGATTGGCAGCATCGCAGAGTAAAAATAGAGAATGCAATGTAATCAACTTTGAATTGCGGAGTAAACAATCTCGATGAAATTTTAATTAGAACCGAACCGATGGAATAATATAAAAGTATTATTGCAACGCGAATGTCGATTGCGATAATACGTAGGTATAATTATTGGCTAATGCAACCGCACAGGTTCCGTTCCAATAATCAACTGTATCGTGCGAATATTGCACCTGCACTAACATTCCTCTTCGTTTGAGATTAGTATTTATTAGTACAAATTTATTACAGTTACACAATTTATTCGAATCATCTCGGCATTATAAATTTTAGAAATTAAAAAGGTATAATTAAACCAAATAATAAAGGAAATATTATTAGAGAATCATTAAATAAGCACATAAAATTAAATAAGGTCATTCAATTAGTAGAATACTTTTTGTTTTTCTATATAATATGGTAATGGAAATGAAAATTTTATTTTTGTAAATGTACATCAATATTAAAAGAGAAGAAAATGATTATATTATTTAAAATAGCGTGTATTAATATAAATTATTATTATTATTATTATTATTATTATTATTATTATTATTATTATTATTATTATTATTATATACACATGCGCACAAAATATTCAATTAGTACAATTGATTTATCTCGTTTAAAGTATAATGAGTTATTATTGTATCTTCCAATTTTGAAAATTTCATTACAGTTTGACATTTTGTTTGTTCCTCGAGAAATAGTCCTCCTCGATCGTTACAAACGGCAATATACCGGGAGAATTTCATGTGAAAATTCTTTCTCTGGCTGTAAAGTAACCGAAAACCGGATTGCCAGCAGCTGTTGGACAAATATTTTGCCTCGATAGTCAAGATGAAGCAAAGTCCCCCGTCCCAGTCGAGCTCATCAATCACGTCAATTACATACGACATGGTCGATTCGCGATAACACGCGCGCGCACAAGAGAGAATGAAAAGGCAAACTAGGCATATATACATACGTACGTATGTACATACATATGTATCTATATCGCTCATTTGCTACACACAACGTTAAAAAAAATCAGATTTTCCAAAAAATAAGTTTGAATGTATTAAATAATTAAAATTTTGGAATGTTAATTTTAAAATGCAACTTTGCTGTAATAACTACTTTATTAAGATAAGAGTAAAAATATGTTTTTTCTTTTGTTTTTCTTTATGTTTCTGTTCTTTTTTTTACAAGCAATTAATGACAATTTTTTAATTGCTACAATAACAACTTAAATACAAAATTGGTTTATTTTAACCAAAATTGTAAGATTCATATTTTAGAATATTATGGAACACCAATATCCGCTTTGACCGTGTTGGCGTTTTCCGTTTTTAATTGTTTGTAATATTCCACGGTCTATCCTAATACATAATTAAAAAATTGTCATTTTTGAATTGCTTGCAAAAAACGGATTTGTACATACATATATATTTTTGTCAATTGTTTAACTTTCATAATTTTTATATACATATATATGTATTGGAAAGTCAAACTGATTTGCTAAAATATCAAAATATTTTACAGCAATGCTTATCATTTTTAAGTTTCCAACAAAATTATTTTGATTTCCGTGCAACAAAATTATTTTCAGATCTAATTTTGACCTTGGTCAAATATTAATAAGCATTGCTGTTAAATATTTTGACATTTTAGCAAATCAGTTTGATTTTTCAATACACACATATATAGATATATATGTAAAATAATATATGTAAAAAAAAAATATATATATATACACACACGGAAAAAACAATTTTGCTGGAAGGTCAAAATTGGATCTGAAAATAATTTTGTTGCACGGAAATCAAAATAATTTTGTTGGAAACTTAAAAATGATAAACATTGCTGTAAAATATTTTGATATTTTAGCAAATCAGTTTGACTTTCTAACAAAATTATTTTCAGATCCAATTTTGACCTTCCAGCAAAATCGTTCTTTCCGTGTGTAAATATGTAAATATATATGTAAAAATTAAAAAAGATAAGCAAATTTGTAATAATGTCACTTTGGGAATGAGGCAAGGAAAGGACCGATACAATGGCGCCGACTTAAGATAATGCTTTCTATCGCGTTGTTCATACATAATTATCGGCGAGAAAATGTTCAGTTCCTTTCTGGAGCAATTACGAAGAACAAAGGGGTCAAAAGTAGCAGCCACAATTACAGGTTTCTATCTCTAGTTCGTTGTCTCTTCCACTCTCCCATTCCCTCTCTCGCTCTCTACTCTGTGGATTATATTCTACCCTGTTGTTTTTTAAGAAAGTGGCCATTACGAACAATTTCTGAACTCGCACGCAAACTCGATGCAATGACGACGCGGCGCGATGCGACGAGAAGGGAGATGTTACGCTACCGGCGTCCATAATATTATTCCCATCAAAGAACAGTTCGCGCACCCTTCTCTCTCGCTATAAGCTCTTTCCCGCCTTAGCATTTTTTTTCCTCCCATACGCTATACGAATGAGAGAAACAACATTTCTCTTCACTTATAAATCGACCTGTCCCCTCGTCGCGTACACTAAACGCGGTATCGATCGATTCCATTCTAAGGGAGGGAGAGATTTCGTTCCACACAGTTTCAAACGAGGAGGAAAATACGAAAATGCTAAATTTGATAAACAACGTCGCCGCTAAGAGACAAAAATTTATCTTGCACGTGTACATAGTCAATAAACAAAAGTGGAGAGGATCAAAGACGGCATTTCCGAGGGGCGGATACTGATTACAGTCGAGCTTTTGGCCCCCGCGGTCCCTTCCGAAATAATCGGCCCTGCAAACAGTGAAAATGACGAGCGAAGGGGTGCTCTTAATTGACGATGTCTCAATGGAAACAACAGGGCGTAGAGCGTGACGACCCTAAAAAGCCCACCCTAACAGTCACAGGGCGAGGGGTTAGTCGAACGGTCGTATCCTTTCAGGTCTTCGAAGTGGCTCTAAGACCCATGCCAATATTTCACAAGTTTCGTTTGCCTGGCCTTTCCGCTCACTTATTTGCCCCCGGGGAGGCGAGGCGCTCCGCGCTCAACGTGTTTCCGCATATTTGAATAATGCCTCTTTCGTGATTCGCGTAATCGTTCGATTCGATCTCGCGCGCGCGCGCGAAAATAGTTACCACTGATGCGCGCGACGTTGCGATTACATGATTATTTCGATTGCATTAACGATGCAGTCGGCCTGAATTAATGACATGTGTATAGCGATGTAACAGCAGTGTGCATACACGGCAGATATGAGAGAATATTTGAATTTATATTGTAGAACAAAGATAAATAACTTGGAGTTATATACACGCGCGTATACAAATAACTCGGGTATACTCTCAATGAGGTAAAGAAGTCGATGTATTCGACTGGCGAAATGGCGAGCGGCTGTTCGCCGCTATAAAATTTCCATAGAGTTATATGCATCGAAATGCGGCACTGTGAGACGAAATAACACGAGACATGGAAAAATGATAAGGCCAGAGTATCACGCCGCGAGAGGTATTATTATCGACGGGTCGGTAAAGCAGAAATTATCGCAGCAGCCGCGAAGTGCTTACGTGTGTCAACATGCAGCGGTGAAACGTCGATGAAGCGACTTTAACGAGCCCTTATTCAAATGCAAAAACTTATATCTCCAAACCGTTTCGCGGGACGTATTTTTTAGAGAATAAAATTATGTATTATAAAACTGTGCAAAATATTCATGAAAGAGGAGTGCGTTTGTTAAAAAAATATGAGACTACTTTCGGAGAAAAGCTACACGGAAAGAACGATTTTGTTGAAAGACCTAAAAATTTTGCTAAAAACAGATCTGAAAATAATTTTTTATTGAATCATCAAAATAATTTGTTGGAATGTTAAAACTGATAAGTATTGCTGTAAAACGATTTGATATTCTAGCAATCATTTTGACTTTCGCACAAAATAATTTTGATTATTGAACAAAAATTATTTTCAGATCTGGATTCAGCAAAATTGTTCTTTCCGTGTATACAAAAGTGAGAATCGATCGTGCGCCCGCATTTCGTTAGACCAAAATTTCTTTTGTCGAAATTCAAGTTTCCGCTCCGAAATGCTCATTTAGATATTTCCTTGAGAAAAACATACCTCTCCGTGCGTGTCCTTTCTTCCGTCCGGCGTGTTTTCAGGTAGGAAATAGAGCCGCAAGGACGCCAGAGGCTGATTCGGTCCACGGCTGTCCATCCACAGTAGCTGAAGTTCACCGATGCTGACGATATCGGTATCGCTCCATAATTTCGTCAGGAAGAAACTACCGAGACGAAGAACGCGACCGTTACTTATCCTCACTGCCTTGTAAAATGTGTAAGGGCCGTGGCTGAAGCAAGCACCGCCCAGTAACTGAAAAAGAGTATAGAAAAGAGAATTCATCAACTCGTAGTTCGAATCATTGTCTGACGCTGCGAAGATTATGACGTTTGATAAAAAAAATAACAATAAAAAAATTTAATAAAATTAGCGTTTATTAATCTTTTAATACAGAAAATTTAAGACGGACACATACGCAAATGTATTCTATATTAAAAGACGCATGTCATCTTCATTAATTTGCTCGTTAGCTTGGCCTAATTTTATTAAATTTTTGATTGTTATTACAAGGATAAACTTGTCTTTTATATTGTTACAAAAAAAATAAATTATATAGGAATACACTATATCGGCGTGCATATAAATGTATCTGTACATAACACTCAAAGAAAATACATTTCCTCTATATGTATAATTTCCCGTAACGTCGCTTCTAATAACACGCTCGTGATATATGCCATTTAATAGTTATTCTCGTACCGTTATTAATATTATAATTAACATATATTAATATTTAATGAGAAATGCGTTTGAATATTAGAATGTATTATGCTGCAATATTAATCGGATGATAAACAGGCGGGCATATATATATATACATATATATGGTGGCAAATCAGCGCAACAAAGAGCATCGAAAATTCGGTTGCAGATTAATTTTCAGGAATACTCGATGAAAACACGTATATTTTCATTCCTTTTTCTTTTTATTCGAACCGGTAAGAGCTCGTTCGAGAAAGTCGGCTTTTAAAATACCATCCCCCTCGAATACGCACAACCATCCGGGAGAGATTCGTGGTGGCGGGAGATGGGGCCGCGGAAAGGCGAGGGTACAGCTCCCTAGAGGGTATTTGCAGCGTGTACCACGCGGAGCACGAAACACGTGCACACTCGCGCGACATTCGCACGCACGCACGCAGGCACGTATACGCAAATATACGTAACGCGAGATAAAACTCGAACGCGCGCGTTTCGTCGAACGGGGGGAAATCTTCGCGCTAAAAGTGAGGCGGTTTCCGCGATTTCGCGTTGGAAATGCGGATTAAAATCAATGCGATTAGAATCGATAGGGGGAAACGCGCGATGCGCGGCCGTAAATAATTAAATGGCAAACGCGCGGATGAAAAATTAATTATCCACCGCGCCGAAGGGAATTGTCCGAATGTGTATTATTATGCGAGACAGATAGGTAAGAACGACTCCCTCGCTCCCCGGCGAAGGAACGCGACGATTAATTCGCATTTTCATAGTTGAGAAGAGAAAGACGCGAATGAAATGATAAAAAAGCGTAAAGCGAAGATTCGAACGGTGTGTGCGTGTGTGTGACGTTGATTTTTACGTCGCAAGTGTTTTCCCCTCCTCGTTGCCCTAGAAAAACTATTTATTATTCAATGAGAAAAATGTTTATTATCCGGCTGCTGAAAAAAATTCCGCAAACGAAAGAGCAAACGAACCGTGCACGCGGCGCGTACAGTCCGCCGCATAATTCCCGATGGATTGGCTCTCATCGGTGTGAGCGGCGAATCCGAGTCCTTCAGGTCGGCCCCCGCAACTTTTCTTCTCGCCAACAACAATAAGATTCAACGTCCGTTAACACGTCTGTGTGATTAACGAGACAGGCAACGAGTATCGTCGAGTCCCAATTACGTTAGAACTCTTGCATAGCGAGTAGCGAGAACAGGGAACGTCTTGCGAGCGTGCGCGTGTTGTTGGCGCTTGATATGTATCAATCACCGGAAATCACTCTGTAATTATTGACAAGCGAGCCGCCCCGCACTCCCTCGAAGCGACTCGTCCCGGCGCAGAAAGTCGCGGAACTATGTACGGAATGCTCCAATAACCGAAATCAATCAGTCTCGTCGCCGATCGCCGCGTCTCGTGCGGATCCGCGAGCGAAATGACAAACGTCGTTTCTCCTATTGCTTTCTTTTTTCCTTTTTCCTTCGCGTCCGGCGTCCGATCGAGTGGTTACAGATGTCGAATATCGCGGCGTATCGGACGTAACGGACGCGATATCGGCGCGAAACTTTCGCGGCTGCGAGGACGATCGGCTGCCCCCCCCCCCCCCCTTCTCTCTCCTCCAGTAAGGTTGTAATTGAGAAATATATGCTCGATATTGGGCTCAATCGCGAACGCACGATCGCGAAGGGAGGAAAACACACGAGACACGAAGAGATCCATCCATGCTTGTCGCTTTGTAGCGCGGACTGTACGGGCGTCTGCTGCTTTGCAGCGGAGACTTGTCCATTACTCCCTTTGCTTTATTTATCCGGACGAAATTTCAAATGGATCGGATTTGGACGTAAAAGAGACAGAGACCTCCGCGCATAAAGATCGATGTTGGAGAGTATTCATGTAAAAATGCCCCACATTTTTAGTCCAGGTCGATAGGAATTCCTCTTCTCCCCCCTCCCCTCCTCCGCTATCCGCGATTTATATCGTTTTATATTGTAACGTAACGCCAGAACGGCGATTCCGGGGGCAATGTATCGATTTCACGGAGAAAGATGATTCCGAAAGGCTAGCCTCGAATAACAAAGTCCCTTTAATTGCCGACTAAGTGAATCCGATATTGGGTCATGTTAGTTGCGCGCGCGCGAAACCCTCGAAAACGAATAAAGCATGTACACAATACGCCTCGATATATGTAAAAAAAAAAAAACTGTCGCCAAGTTCGCTCGTTCGCTTACTTCGCTAAATCGACGTGCGTGTGTCACGCTTACGCGTTTATCAATCGCGTTCGCATTACATAATTGAATCGATAGCACGGGCATCGGCGGGTATCACTCGGGTGGAACCCGTTGAGCACCACTGCCATAACTATTTCCAATGTTTTAAGAGTACAGTCGCGGCCAAGAGTTCCGGCCCGATGGTCGGCCGCGAGCGGCCGAGAGAGAGATCAGCCGCGACGACGGTATTTATAGCAGTTAATCTCGTTTTCTCTCCGCCGCCGCGCCGCGCGCGCTGCACCGCACGCGAAACTTACCGCCATTGATATCGCGATTGCATCTACGACGCTCTTTTATCTACACGGACAAGTGCACTGACGCGAGACGCGCGCACGTATGTTATAGGTACACACGCGCGTAACGCACATGCGCATGTGCACACTCACACATGCACACGCGCGCACGTACGAGTACTAAATTTTCCAGTCCCGCTGTTGCCGTTATTATTTATCGGAACGTGCCAATTACATGCCCTATCAAAAGTCGCCAAATATTTCTCCCCACGCACGGATGCACAATGGCACAACGGACACATGCATTATTCATATCGGACGACGTACGTGCGCGCTCTTTCCTTCGCGTAAAAACACTTCCATGTAAATAAATATCTGTCGCGACGACGCGTCATGGCAATCGCGCGACGCTCTGCCAATTCGCTCATTGTTAATTATTTTTCGATGCTGGAGACGTAGTGAGCGCGCGCGTGCGAGCGCGAAGTACAAGCAAGCGCGACGCAGCATGTCACGTGCGTGTGCGCGCGATATGTAAAATGTGCCACCACGTGTCGATGGGAATTGTTTAAAAATAAGAGAGAACGCGAGAGAGAGAGAGAGAGAGAGAGAGAGAGAGAGAGAGAGGAACCGGACGTTTACGTCGCACCGCGTTAACAACGAACGGAACATCCTCTCTCTCAATTCTGTAATTGCCATTTTGGGTGTTTGCCCTTGGGAACGGGACTGGCGCTAATATTACGCGAGTAACGCAAAGCTTAGAACGTGGAGCGTGTAATATGTATATCTGCGAATCCTTCCCTTCCATCGGGAAAAAAATGCGTGCGTAATTCTAAAAGCGTTTCGAGAAATTCCTTTCCCGTCGCTACATGCACGTACGACACAAAGGGATAATTGTTATCTTTCTTAATAATGCATTATCCGTCTCTCCGCCGGGGAGGGGATACGGTAACATTACGCTTGAAACTTCTGCAGCTTTATATAATGACCGTTGTCTGTTTTCCTCTTGTAACAGAAACACTCGGAACTCTAGAACGACGACCGGTGAAGGGGGGGGGGAATGAGAAGGAAGGAGGCGACGAGGATCGGACAGATAGAGGGATACGAGAAAGAAGAGGGAGGGCGGAAAGGAGGGAGAGAGAGAATGCGTCATGTAATAAGTATTTTAAGTCCGTTGAATATAATAATAAAAAGGTATGTGGAATAAAAATACATGAGAATAAAAATGTTACGATACTGATTGAACGAGAATTTACTGAATCATCACAGAGGAAAGTAAAAATGTGCGTAATATTAAAAAAAATAAATTTCTAAAATCGCTCAGTAAAATAATGTCGCTCATTTGTTATAACAATGATACACCTTAAAAAAATAAAGTTTTTCTATAGAAAACAAATTTGAATGTTTTGAATCATTAAAATTTTGTGATATCAATTTTGAAGTGTAATTTTAGTGTAATAATTAATTATAATGATTAATGTAGAAGAATAAAAGTATATTTTTTCTTTACGTTGCTGTTCTTCTTTGCAAGCGACTAAAAAAAAAGAAAAATTTTGTAACTATATCGTTGTACACCAGCGATGTGTACAACGACAATTCATGTTTATTTTGTCTTTCTTTGTAAAACTTATTTAAAATCTTTTATTCACGTCTTGTTTGCGTTTCCCCGAACCGAATAAATAGATGCGCAATAAATGCGCGCGAGAAAAAAGCAATACGAAGTCAATTCCAGTAATCGGACGAATGGGAACAATATATATATATATGAGTATTATAAATATTCAATAGTCCATTCATTGCCGTGTCCTCGCCGACTAGATGATACAAAAATGCTGAGTGTATATATTCTCGCTGTGTCGCAAGAAGTCGCGACACATATTGTATTCGTACACATGCACGCAAGAAAGCAAAGCGAAACAGACGCGCGGGGGAGAATGAAAAGGTGATGAGTGAGAGATCGTGCGACGCGAGATTAATAAATGCACCACGATCCAGAGCGAACAATGCGAATAAATCACTCCGGGGATCATTAATAGTTCTTATGCAACACTGTTACTGTCGGCAGCGTAATAACGTAATAAATATACGATGCATCAAAAAGCGTATCGCAATCGTCATGTTATGGACGGATACAAACCGAGCCGACCGTCAAAATATTTTCATCGGCGTGGGGACGGAAAAACGATCGCGGCGGCGCGGACCGTTTCGAGCGGGAGAAGCATGCACATACGGAAGGGGAAAAAGAAACCGGAACAAGAAAAATAGAATC